TGAACAAAGAATGGAAAAATGTCCTCTGGTGAGGATTAAATAAATAAATAAAAAAGAATGAAGTTTGTTCCAAAATAAGGTTGGTTATTTCTGAATGAGGAAGAAGAAACAAAGAAGAACTAAGAAAGGTGTAGGTCTGTGAAGAAAAATTTTGAATATAGTTAAACTGAATAAGATTAATATTTAAATAAATAAATGTAAACATCAAAAGTAAGCTAATGATGAGTTTGGCTCTTTTACTCTGTTTTTTTTTTTTAAAAAAAAAGTTTTTTGTATTTATTCTACCCCAAATATGATTTTATAGAATTATTGGTTTTATACCTAGAAAGCAGAAATTCTATGTTTTATTAAAATAGTCATCTGGGCCCTGGCCGGTGTGGCTCAATTGGTTGAGCATCAGTCCATGCAGCGAAGGTCACTGGTTCAATTCCCAGTCAGGGCACATGCACAGGTTGTGAGATCAGTCCCTGTTCAGGGTGTGGTTGGGGTATGAATGATCCCCAGTCAAGGTGCAGGGTTTGTACCAGAGGCAACCAATTTGTTTTTCTCTCTCCACTCTCCCTTCCTCTCTCTCAAATCAATAAAAACATATCTTTATTTATGTTACAGAAAATCAAAGTTGTCAATTATATAATAATCATATCTATAATCATGTCATTTTAAGTTTTGACATTTATAGTCATTGTTTTTCTCTGATACTTTTGCAAGAGTGTTTCATCTTCAGAAAGATTCATGAAAAAGACTCTGCTTACTCTAAAACAATTTTCTCAGAATAAACTTTTAGATTATACCTTTAAATGGATTAAAATTTATAAAGCTCTAAGGCAAGGGTTCTCAACCTTACTAATGCCCGGACCCTTTAATAAAGTTCTTCACATTTTATGTGAGCGTATCTGCATGTGGGCGGACCCGCCTGAAGACGGATACAGGAATGGTGTCTCGGTTCCTAAGACCATCAGAAATATGTGTTTTCCAATGGTCTTAGGTGACCCCTGTGAAAGGGGTGGTTCGACCCCCAAAGAGGTCACGATCCACAGGTTGAGAATTGAGAAGCGCTGCGGAATAACTGGATTCATGAACTGCTGGCAAAGGATCAAGATAGACAAGAATTGGTTATATGCAACTAAATGAACTGAGGATGATTATAATTTTTATAACTTTTTGTTAGCCCAGCCAGTGTGGCTTAGTGGTTGAGCATCGACCCATTTACCAAGAGGTCGCCGGTTTGATTCCCAATCGGGGCACATGCTCAGGTGTGGGGCACGCAGGAGGCGGCCAATAGATGTTCTCTCTCATCGATGTTTCCATCTCTCTTCCTCTCTCTCAAATCAATAAAAAAAAAAATTTAACTTTTTGTTGGAAATACTGCTAATTTTTAGTCTTTCTGTTTTCCAGATATATGGAAACTTATTTTCTGTTAAACTACCTATGACTCAGAACAATTTGGTCAATTATACCTTTGTAAGCAATATGAAAACATTTATATTCTTCTTCCTACCTGATCCCTCTTGCAGGGGTGGGGAACTTTTTTTCTGCCAAGGGCCATTTGGATATTTATATCATTTGTAGGCCATACAAAATTATCAACTTTGCCCTGGCCAGTTTGGCTCAGCGGTTAGAGCATCGGCCTGCGGTCCAGAGAGACTCAGGTTCAGTTCCTGCTAAGGGCATGTACCTTGGTTGCAGTTTGTCCCCGGCCCTGGTTGGGCTGTGTGGGTGGCAACCACTCGATGTGTCTCTCTCACGTCGATGTTTCTCCCTCTCTCCCCCTCCCACTCTATCTGAACAAAAAATGAAAAAATGTCCTCAGGTGAGGATTTAAAAAAAAAATTATCAACTTAAAAATTAGCCTGGCCCTGGCCGGTTTGGCTCAGCTGTTAGAGCGCCGGCCTGCGGTCCAAAGAGTCCTGGGTTTGGTTCCCGCTAGGGGCACGTACCTCAGTTGCAGTTTGTCTCCTGCCCCGGTTGGGTCATGTGGGTGGCAACCACTCCATGTGTCCCTTTCACATCAATGTTTCTCTCTGTCTCTTCCTCTCTCTCCCTCCCACTCTATTGGAACAAAAAATGGAAAAATGTCCTCGGGTGAGGATAAAAAAATAAAATAAAATAAAATTAGCCTGCTACTATGCAGCTGTAAGAGAGATCTCTTACCCTTTGAGATGACATGGAAGGACCTGAAGAGTATTATGGTAATTGAAACAAGCCTGTCAGAAAAAGATAAGTACCACATGATATCACTTCTTTGTGGAACATAATGAACAAAATAAGCTGTCGACCAAAGGAGATCCAGAATCATGGAAGTAGGGAACAGACTGACAAACCTCAGTGATGAAGAGTAGGGGGGGAGGGGGTGGAAAAAGATAAACCAAAGAACTTATATGCATATATGCACAACCAACAAACAACAACACTAGGCTGGGGAAGGCAGGAGGGAGTTGGGAATGGGAAGGAGGGGGTCAATGGGGAATAAAGAGGAACATCTGTAATACTTTCAACAATAATAAAAATTAATAAATAAAATAAAAATTAGCCTGCTATATTTGGTCAGGCTAATTTGATGAGGTGTGTGATGTTAGCTGGTATTGATTTCACAGGCTGGATGTTCCCCACACCCTGGGGGGAGACTCTGAATGAGTATTATTATTTCATAGCAATATGGCTGTTTCCATAAATTCGATAGAAATATGTTCTTTTTATAACAGGACCCAATTGGAAATAGGTTTATTACCAAGACTTTGAATGCCATGTTTAAGAGAGATATGGATGTCACCAGAAAACTTTCAGAAATTAGATGTACTTTGGAAGCTGATAAAAGCTCCTTGGAGAAACAGCCTTGTACCTTACTTACATGGTTCACAGCAGTCTTTCCAGATAAGGAATGACATTTTGGGGATCTTGAGAATCTGAGAAATTCACCCATATCAATAGGTAATGCTGCTGGCAACTATGTGGTTTGGCTTCTTGGCCCTGCAAGGGTATAATTCAACCTGAATATTCCTTATGAAATTCCAGCAAAGCCGATTAAAAAGAGTCTAGATGATGAATTATGATTCTTGTTGTACTTACACAAATGACAAGCAAAATTTATTGAAATTGAACTTATACAATAAATTAGTCTTAAATTGGCTATCTTTTGATAAAATGAGGGTAATTTTAGAGAGGAAAATTATTTCAATATAAACTATAATGTCTAATTGTGGATAGATTCTAGGTTCAGTTGTCTTTAAAATCTTATTTTTCACCCTGGCTGGTTTGGCTCAGAGGTTGGAGTGTCAGCCCGCAGAACAGAGAGGCCCGAGTTCGGTTCCTGCTAAGGGCACGTACCTCGGTTGCGGTTCTTCCCCGGCCCAGTTGGGGTTGTATGGGTGGCAACCACTCGATGGGTCTCTCTCACGTCAATATTTCTCTCTTCCTCCCTCTTTCCCTCCCGCTCTATCTCAAGATAAATGCAAAAATGTCCTTGAGTGAGGATAAAAATAATAATAAGTGTTTAAATCTTATTTTTCATCTGTGAACTGGACTGGATCCTAAATCTTTTTTTTTTTTTTTTCTTGCCCCACTCCTTCCCCTCTCCAGATCCTGAATATTTCTAATGAAACTTTGGTTACAGCCCTCTGAACTAATATTTCATTTTCTCCCATTCTTTGCCTTGGAATTATTGAGAACTAAAACTGGTTTGTTTGTTTCCTGAACCTTGTACTTACAGACCCCAGGTAGATGACATAAACTTCAGAGAAGTCATCACAACAGCTTATGCTTAGGCAGTACCAGTAATGGATGCTGTGTGAGCCACACAGAGAGCTTGCTAGTGTCAGTACATTCATCGGGAACTTGAAACCAGGGGAATCTGGGGATTGTCACTGCTTGCCTTCATTCCAACAAAAATGAAGCTCTGAGCCTGTCATCAGGAACAGAGATCTTCAACCAGTGTGCTGCAAAAAATAAACATGTGATACCTGACTATTCAGTCAGGTGCACTGTCCTCTTTTCCCTTTGGCTATCAAGTACAAAAATGACAACAGCGAACACAATATCTGTCCTCTGTGAATGAATCAAAATTATACCTATTTTTTTTGTCAGATCAGTAAAAAAATATTTCCTGGTGTGCCACAGAATTATAAGTTTGTGTGCTGTAAGATAAAAAAAGAAAGGTTGAAAATTGCTGACCTAGAGGTCTTCTCACATAACAGTTTGTTTTTTTAATCCTCACCCAAGGACATTTTTTCATTTTTGTTCAGATAGAGCGGGAGGAAGAGAGAGAGAGAGAGAGAGAGATGTGCATCGAGTGGCTGCCACCCGCATGACCCAACGAGGGCCGGGACAAACTGCAACTGAAGTACATGCCATGCCCTTAGCAGGAACTGAACCCCGGTCTCTCTGGACCGCAGGCAGACGCTCTAACCGCTGAGCCACCGGCCAGGGCTCAACTAACAGTCTTAAAGACACAGACTAACTGCATGCAGTCTGCTCTGATTAAGAGTACAGATATCCTCGCCTTCTACCACTGACGTGGTTCCTGCTTATAAATTAAACACCTAGAGTGTTCCAAGGCTCAGGGCCATAGTGGAAGAGATTCCATGTTAAGGTGATGGTCATAAAGGCTTACAATAGTTTCAAACGGCCAAATCACCCCAATGTCCTCTGCCCCTGGGGCTCCTAGAACAGGCTTCCAGAGACTTTTATTCCAGACAGGCAGGGACTACAATGCTATCTCAGCTTTGAGGAAGTTACAGAAAACGAACCTCCTGAATATAGGAGAGGGACAAGAAAACTGTACAAATTAACTACAAAGTTGAGTCAGGGGCTTGCTACGTGCTGCCTGACTCGGAACTCGCTGACCACAGATGCAAGCAGACCACAAAGAGCCTTTGGACAAAGAAGATTCCGGAAAAGACTGACTAATACCTACTCACCAACACCGGACCTTATGGTTTACCCATTCCATGGAAGAAAAGCACAACGCCACAAAATATACCTTGTAAACTTCAAGTTAAACTCACGTTTATTTCCACTCCCCGTTTCCTCAGACCAGCAAGTTCCCATAGAAACTACAAACAGGTATAAAATAAGCTCAACCTCTAGACGTGGTGGGGGTCTCTCTTCCTTCGCTTGCTGAGAGTCCCTACTGTCTGCGGAGAGGCTGTTCTTGCGTATCCTCTCTGCTCGGTACGCCCGCCTTTCTACTTTCTCTGGCTCGCGTCCTGAATTCTTTCCTGCAGGGAAGTCGAGAATCCGTTGCTCAGGGCTCGAGTCCACACGAGGGACTCGCCCCTCCGGCATCAGCCCCTCCGGGCACGTAGGGGACGGCGGGAGGAGGGGACCGTGCAGTTGCAGCTGAGGCAGAGCCGACTTGCTTACCATCAGGAAACCCTGGCAGGGCGCCCTGGGCGGGGCTTCCGGGGACGTCAGGCGCCCATCTGCCCACGCGGCACTTCCGACCGCGCGCTGCTCTCAGGGTGCCGGGGGCCCTGCTCAGCCCCGCGCCCCAACGCCCAGCCGCAGCAGCAACCCAGGGAACCCGCGCCTCACCCTGATTCTGGCTGCCGACGAAACACCTGGCCGGTTTCCACACGGAACCCCACCTTTTCTACGAGGACGCAACGCAGTCCTACGTCCACGACCGAACAAGGCCACAAAGACCGCAGTGGGGCGGGGCCTCTACGGCGGGCGTCCGAACGGGACTACGAGGGCGCCATTATGTCGCGCGCGGAGCGGAATCGGGGATTGGGCAGCGGGGGACGGGAGGCGGGGCCTGCGGAGGGGAGGGGCGGGGCGAGCCGGCACGAGGGGAGGCAAGTGTCTCCCGACCGCTCCTGAGTCCTTGGAGTTACTGACTAGGAGAGCCCCCAAACGGTGAGCCCAAAGGACGCCTGGGTTGAAGACCAGCGTGAGAAAAGAAAATGAGAGCCGTTTCCTGCCGAGGTGGAAAGGGAATCGGGGACGGATAATGCTCCAACGGCTTGAGAAGTGGACAGAGGAGTGCTCCCTGCTCTGGGGTCGCTGCTCCGCGCGGTTAAGTCGCCCCACCTGGCTCGCGATCTGTCCAGGGGTCAGGGCTTTGGCCTCTGGTCCTCAGGGACAAAGTGCTGGGCCAGAAGGTGTCACTACCAAGTCCTTCACTGCCAGAGAGACACGCACCAGTTCAGTATCATTTGTGTATTTGCCACCTCCAGGCAGGCCACTTGTGTGTGTGTTTTGGGCCACCTGTGTGTTTGCTCCAAAGACAGACTGAACTTGCCAGCCCTTTGTGAGGAACATGTACACAGTTGGAATTAGCAGTACCAGGGACTGCCAGTTGTCATATAAGCAGTCTCCTTTTACCTACCATCTTGATTATGATCGGGTGCAGCACTAAAAAGAAAAGCAGCCCTGAGAGTCACAGTTGTTATCTAGCTTGGATGTCCTGATTTTATGACATTAAGCAACGTCATAATATATTGACAGATGAGATCTCTCTCTCTCTGACGGAATGGAAGAAGGAAAGAATCATGCCTGAACAGATAAAAACACGTGCAATCACAAAAAGATAACCAAATATCCCTTCACCAGCTAACATGACTACTTCAAATGACAACTCTAGGCCTGCTTTCTAATTAAAGGTTAATAACCTAATTACTGATTTGCTCCTGCTTCGTTACAGCACCAGAACAGGTCTGTTTCATTGGACCCTCTCCAAAATCACCTAACAAGCCCAAATACTATAAGCCCTCTTTAACACCCCCTTCCAGAGACAACTATAGCAACTAGTAACCCTTCGTTATTTAGCCATAACTATGTCCGTGGTAGTTTTTGGTGGGCATCATCAGTATGGATGGCCAGGAATCGAACTGCAGACCCTTCCATCTGAGGGCCGCTGCTTTAACTGCTGAGCCAAACTGGCCAGGGCCACAAAAATAAAATCTTAGAGCCTATAACCTAATAAGAAATCAAACCAAGCAATGTGAATAGTAAAATGGGGCAAGACCTTGGTATGTAAAAGTTTGTATGCTGCCCTGGCCTGTGTGGCTCAGTTAGCTGGTTGAGCATCGCCCCGCATACCAAAAGGTCACAGGTTCAATTCCCCAGTTAAAGCACGTACCTAGGTTGTGGGTTTGTACAGGAGGCAATGATCGATGTTTCTCACAAACATTGATGTTTCTCTTCCTCTCCTTTCCTCTCGCTCTAAAAATCAGTAAAAACATTTTTTTTTTTTTAATTTTTAAAAAGCTTGTATACTAAATACAATGTTGGGTTGTGGGTTGTATTTTATTTTCTTTTTTTTTTTTTTAATCTCCACCTGAGGAATTTTTTTCCATTTATCTTCAGAGATAGAGTAGGAAGGAGGGCGAGAGGGAGTACTGAATGTACTTAGAAATGGTTAAGATGATAAATTTTATGTTGTGTATTTTGCCACAATTAAAATAAAAAGTGGGGTCTTTAGTTAGACTAGCCACATTTCAAGTGCTCAGTAGCCCTGTGTGGTTAAATGGCCTCTGTATCACACAGAGCAGCTTTAGACTGAGGAGTAACTAAAACCTTACTATCTTCAGCCGCCTCTGAAAGGGCTGTCCTGTGGCTGGCTGCTCTCAGCCACTGCCTTTCTTCACTCTGCCTGGAGCGTTAGAACCTGTTACCTAAGTCTTGCTTGTGGTACATATTCATCATATTACTTCAGAGTAAGCATCAGTTTTACTGTAGAGTTTCACCTGTATACGGAAGGAAGTGCAGCCTTCTGACATATTAGCCATCAATTTTAACTCGGAGTGCAATATTTCTCAGAAGGGAGGCACAGGAGACTTCCTTTAACTCTATTGTCACGCTGTGAAATTTCATCCCAGATGGATTATTTCACACTAAAATAACTGTGAGCCAACATCTAAGACTTAAAAGCAATTTTAATAAAGTTTATAAAGCTTTTATAGAGATGTATGTGCTCATATGTTCATTGTGGCATTATTTGCAATAGCCAAGACTGGAAACAACCGAAGTGTCCATTGACAGATGAATGGTTAAAAGAGATATGATATACATATACAATGGAATAGTACTCAGTTTTAAAAAGATGAAATATTGCTGTTTGAGACAACATGGATGGATCTTAAGAGTATTATGCTAAGTGAAATAAGTCAGATAGAAAAGGACAGAAACTGTATGATTTCATTTTTATATGCCACTGGCATTATAAAACAAAAAAGTAACAGATGAACAAAAATTTAAAAACTCAGAAATAGGCAAAAAAAATAGTGGTTACCAGAGGAATAGTGGGATGGGGGAAGACAAATTGGGTAAAGGGGGTCAAATATATGGTAGTAGATGGAAACTAGACTTTTGATGGTGAGTACATAATAGAGTATACAGATGTCAAACTATAATGCTGTACACCTGAAATTTATATAATTAACTTATTGACTTCAGTACATTTTGTAAATAGTTTAATGTATTTTTTTTTTTTTAATCCTCACCAGAGGACAATTTTCCATCCTTTGTACAGACAGAGTGGGAGGGAGAGAGAGGAAGAGAGAGAGAGAAACATCGACGTGAAGGGACACATCGAGTGACTGCCACCCGCACGACCAACCAGGGCCGGGGACAAACTGCAACCAAGGTACATGCCCTTAGCGGGAACCGAACCCGGGTCTCTCTGGACCGCAGGCCGACGCTCTAACCGCTGAACCAAACCGGCCAGGGCAGTTTAATGTATTTTATTTATTTGTTTATTTTTTGGGGTACATGCCCCTAACAGGAACTGAACCCAGGACTCTGGTCCGCAGGCTGACGCTCAACCGCTGAGCCAAACTGGCCAGGGCTGTTTAATGTATTTTAATAGAAAACTTATAGAAACAGCACAAATGACAATGTTTTGTTTGTTTTAATCTGTCTTTATTGATTTTTTACAAAGAGAGGAAGAGAGAGAGAGAGAAACATCGATGTGAGAGAGATACATTGATCCTCTGCCTCCTGCATGCCCCCAACTGGGGATCGAGCCTGAAACCTGGGCATGTGCCCTGACCAGGTATCGAACCGGGACCTCTGTCCATGGGACGACACTCAATCCACTGAGCCACACCAGCCAAGCAAGACAGACAATCTTTTCTCTTTTTTTTTTTTTATCCTCACCTGAGGACATTTTTCCATTCCTTATTCAGTCAGAGCGGGAGGGAGAGAGAAACATCGACGTGAAAGGGACACATCGAGTGGCTGCCACCCGCATGACCCAACCAGGGCCGGGAACAAACTACAACCGAGGTACATGTCCTTAGCGGGAACCAAACCCAGGTCTCTCTGGACCGCAGGCCAACACTCTAACCGCTGAGCCAAACCAACCAGGGCAAGACAGACGATCTTTTAAAAAGTACTTGCATGGCCCTGGTCGGTTTGGCTGAGCGGTTAGAGCATCGGACTGCAGTCCCGAGAGACCCTAGTTCAGTTCCTGCTAAGGGTGTGTACCTTGGTTGCAGTTTGTCCCCTGCCCTGGTTGGGTCGTGCTGGTGGCAGCCACTCGATGTGTCCCTTTCACATTGATGTTTCTCTCTCTCTTCCTCTCTTTCCCTCCCACTCTATCTGAACAAAAAAATGGAAAAATGTCCTCGGGTGAGGATAAATAAATAAATAATAAAAATAAAAAGTACTTGCATGTAGAACAACTCAAAGAAGTATAGTGAATGGGTGGAATTTATGTATGATAAAAGTGCTACAAATGCCATTTAGTTACCATCAATAAGAAATGCACTTGTTTTAAAATACCCGAATGCTGGCATTGTCCAGGAAAATGTTCGGGTTTATTTATAATTGTTATAAAATGGAACTGCTGAAACTTGTTCACTAAAACATTTGATTTGCACTAATACTTTATGTGCCCACATTTATATTTTAAAAAATTCACACACAAATGAAAATGGAAAAACTGCCAATACCTGATTTCTCTCCCCTATTTTTCACTTGTAATCATATATGTAGGTACCTTTTAACTCCATGGAAAACAAATATCTAATAGTTTCAATAACTACCTACCAATAACAGGAAGAAGGGAACTTTTTTTTTAAAGAATGAAATGTTTCCCATCATAATATATTCTCAAGCACATTCTCCACACACAAGGGGTGCTAGCTAGATGTCTTTTGGCATAATTGTTACACATTTGGCATAGATAGTACACAGGTTGTTGTCTTCAAAAATGCCAACCAGATAGGCCTCATGCCTCCTGCAAAGCAACAACAGCTGCACTCTGGAAGGGCATATCTGTTTTGGAGTTTTGAGTAGTCTCTCACACCAGACGCTGGAAGGAAAGTTTGCAAATCAGAAGTTTGGTGGACTTCTGATAACGTCTACTTTCACCGAGTGCCAAGGCCTATCAAGACCAGGTTTCTTCACCTCTCCAGCAGAGTGTGCAATCTTGCAAGCGGTTATGCTACCTAATTGCTTCCTTGGGCTTTACCACCGGGAACTTTGTAGGTAGGTTTTGGTAGCCAGTGACTTCCTTGGGGCTTTACCAGCAGGAGATTTGTAGGTAATCTGCTTTGTAGGAGTTATAGAGACCTTCTTACTTATCCCACTTCTCTGTGGGCTGGTGCTGGGGAGCTAAGGACTCTGCTGGCATTAGAGAGCAATGGCAGCTGCTCAATACATTTTTTTTTTTTAATTAAAGAAAAAAAATTCCGCCCTGGCCAGTTTGGCTCAGCAGTTAGAGCATCAGCCTGCAGACCA